TCATGAAGAAAACACAAAGAAAAATCATCATAAGCGTGTCGTATCTGTATATGTGATACAGATTCATGTTGATTTACATAAACTTTAACTTTGATTTTCTCGGCTTAGACAACGTTTATTTTTTAAATTACTTCGCCAATGAACTTATAAGATGAGTCGTTTTTTAAGTTGCAAATAAAATGACTTTATAAATACATGTGTTGTCTGTTGAGTTGCGAAATCTATGAGCCAAAGTCATTCATGCGCATCGTCTGCGCATGGGCAGTTCTACAATAGTCAGATATTTCGCAAGTCAGGAATTTCGCGTCACACCGGCCTGTCGACGAGGGGTTCGCGCAAACTAGAACGTACGTTTTGAAGGGTATACCAGTGACGTCGCCAGGATTTCTAATCAAAGCGGCCCAAGAAATTTAACCTTTACTTACGTAAGTTCGAATAAAGTTTATTATGTGAAAATGTATTTAATTGAATTCCCACGCAATCCATGCATGCATATAATATAGTACAATGAACCTTTAGGGGTGTCTAGAGTTGGTAGAGTGGCATTTTCAGCTTTTTTGCGAGCTATTTTAAAGTGTTTTGGTGATTTTCAAATTTCAATTTAAAACATAAATGTTGTTGAGGAATTTCTTTTTGAAAATCTTGTGTTTTCTTTGACAGAGTATTTTTTAAATATGATTCATAGTAATATATTCATTGCCATAATTTAATCTAGAGGGAGACAACCCATCTGGATCCTTGACCTGACTTGGACAAATAAAAAAAGTTGCTTGGATCGGATTGGTTAGCTGTGCAGTTCACCTGCATGGTTCCTGTACTCGTGTATAAAGATACGACATGTAGTTCGGCGAACTCAAATGGGTTTTGTTTGGTATTAATATGTAATCATTCTGAAATTATCTACGGGTGTACAAAGAAGTAGACAAATTTGAAAAGGCCATTAAACTGGAAACTCAGCAACATTTCTGAAGCATTTATGTCAATATGGGTAATTCATTTTTTTAATTCAGGAGGGCTGGTATTAAAAGTCACATTAAAGGTAGGTTTGCGCATAAAAATGGAAGGTTTAAAACACAACTTGAATTCATAAAGTGCAAATTTGGAAAGTGCAAGTTTTATGAATTATCAAAGTACCAGATAATTTGACCTCCCAAACCTTTCTAAAAGTTGAAACTTACTTTTCACGCAGAATTCTTCAAATTTTTTATAGAGTATGTGAGAAATCAGCCACTCGTGAAATCAATCATGCATGAAATCGTATATAAATTATTATAAATATGCGTGAAAGGCTAATAGGACAAAAAAGACCAAGTTTTAGAGGTCGCGTGGTGGAATTTATGTACGTTAAATTGTCTGCTATACTTTACCACTTTCTAAACCTGCGCCCTGTATTCAACTTGTGTACATGGGCAAGCCACTTTTAATATGGTTTTTGAAAACAACCTTCCTAAACTAAAGACTGAAGTTAAAGTTTCAGCTTAGTTGCAGTATTAAGTTGCAGTACTAAAATATCCATTTTCATATAAATTTATGCCCTCTGTATTGACTTGTGATATTGATGAACGTTGAAATGCTGGATATATGGGTACTCGTATATGTGTGCACGAAATTTTTTATCTAAATGTAATAACTTGATCTCCGCCCAGTGGGTTTTTGCCATTGCATAATATGTTCCGATTACGCGAACCGAATAATTAACGATACTTTCTGAAGATTTTTCTAGTCGCGCAGAAGATATACCGCTTCTTTAATGTCATTTGGTGAATGCGGTCTTACCTCCCCATGACGCGTCTGAATATCCGCCAAAAATGTACGAACCAACTCGGATAATCGTAACAGTCGCTCCTTTGTAGTCACACTTAGAATGGAAAGTATACGAACTCCAGCCATCTCGAGTTGCGCGGTAACATAGTGACCAAGAAGTCGCAAAAGGAACCCACAATGACAGTTGCTTGATGTAATTACTCTTTCCACGCAAAATTTGGGAATCCATGAAATGCACTAAACAATAAATTATTTTTGGCAGTATATATTAGTGCGTCTGCATAGTCGGTGTTGGTTTTCCAGGTTTCCCTTTGAATTAAAACACGTGTTATTATATAGTACCCACTTAATTAAAAGCACAGCGCATATTTAAACAGAGAGGACTAAATAGACGCGAATGGAATCTACAGTGACAGTTGCTTGATGTACATGTAATTCGTTTTCCCAAGCAATATTTGGGAATCCATGAAACCGACTAAACAATTAATGATTTCGGCTTTATATTAGTGCGTCAAGGTAGTCAATGTTGGTTTTCCAGACTGAATTGAAACGCGAGTTAATATATAGCACCCGCTTGGGCACAGCGCAAATTAGTCAAACAGAAAGGACAAGGACGTTATTCTGACAGAGTACATTTTAATTGGAAATATGAGCTCTTTGAACGCAAGGCTTCTGAATCTAGAGTTGTTATATACTATATACTGAGTGATTCAAGCATTGTGTATAAATCAATTTTGTTCTTCAAGGTAGGTTTGTTGTTATAATAAAAAATGATATAAATAAAAAATACAAATAATAAAATATACACTCGCAGTTTCTAAAAACACCTATATAAATCCTTCAACATTTAGTGCTAACGATTGAGATGCCCAAATCTTAATTGATTTCAGACTCACTTAACTTGCAGCCGAATTAATTTAAAGTTATAGACAACTGGACACTGTTAGCTGAGTAGAGTAGAGCACAACCTCGTACCCAGGCTATTTTCTCTAATACTCGGTGCCACGGCCACCAAGGCCTTAGGTACGAGGATGAGTAGAGCACTGCACCGAAATCGTAGGGTCGCTGGTTTATTTCCTGCCAGAAGGACTATAATTTGCATTTTTTTGGTAGCTGCTTCTGGTTAGGTCTAATAAATGAATAAAAATTTCATTGGAAATTATATCAACAAAAAGTATATTTATAGTCTATCGAATGAGCCCCAAATCCTGATAAAGGGCTAACATTATAGCAATTCTCACATATTCATCAGAAAAAAGTTAAAATTTAACTGTCTGACATATAATTTATAATTCAATTCTGCGTTTCTCTGCGTTTCCTTCACAAGGCAATTTGTCTCTTTTTCCAGTGCGAAAATTACATGCATATTCGCCTTTTTCCAGATATAGTTTAAAATTTTCTTAAATAACAGAAACTAATCTTTAAATACTTCCAGCTATTAGTAATGTATAGCGTGTTACATGATCATATATAAAGTCTGCAGTTAACAAATACTGTCAAATAGTAGAACCTCAAATGAAAGTAAATTCTTGAGCAGCTCATTCCGTTATTTCTATAAACATGACTTAACGGTGTTTACATCTAAGGTATACAGCGAACCGGCTAGCCATAACCACACAACGGCAATAAACTACACCAACATACCTTGGAAAAATCATTATGTTGCTCGCTCTGCATTGGGAATTCTACGCAATGCATGCAATATATGGGCAAATCAGTTCATTTTAAGACTTTGGCCTGTGAATTTTAGGTTATAAATCAACTTGAGCACTCTGTGGGAGCTCTCTCCTCCGCAGAGGCTTACATGAAGTTTCTAGTGAGGGAAAAGTGAGCGCGCAAGGAGTGATGAGAAGAGCTAAATAAAGGAAGCCTCTGCGAGTTAATGCAATCAATATGGCGTCGTATATAATCGTTTGTAGCGAAGTTCGATCAACCATCGGGGGTGTTAAAACATGTTTTCGACTTTCATTTTCAGGCGTACTTGAGTAT